ATAAAAATCCAATTAGCTACCTGTATTTACAATCCCATGTGTATTATACATGTATATTAACTCAAAATTTTGAAACTTTAAATGTTTATATCTAATAAGCTAATAAAGTTATATTAAAAATTCAAATGCCATTTACTATTAAATTAAAAACTCAAACATTTTATTAAATTAAAAATATGTGTTATCATTTAAAAAAACAAAGTTGACCCCCCCCAAGGCATAAGGGATGAACTTAAAAAGTATTACATAGTTAAAAATTCAAGAATAATGTGTAACTAAAGATAATGAAAAAAAAAAATGTTTAAATTATTATTATTCTGCAAGTAATTGAGTGGGTTATGATAAAAAAATCACTCTGTATATACGTATATGTTAATATTCATTTATATATTACTACAGCCGAAGCCGTTGCCCCCGTATTTGCCTCGTGTATAACGTTCCCCCCGCCACGCCCGCCCACAAAACGCGGCTATACCTCATGCATGATACGTTTACGTACTTAAGTCGCTTTACACGCGTATATATATATATAATGGTGTTATAATCTTTTAACAATAATATTTTCTAATAATAATAATAACAACTGGTTTCTCTGTAAAACAAAGTGGTTTATTAATAACAAATTTTATTTAAATTAGTATTATTACATTACCTGTAAAACAAAGAAACAACAGATTAAGTTTATTATTATAATCTTTAGTGTTATTTAAAATTTACAAAGAAAGTAGTTTGCTTAATTAATAATTTTTAACAATGATTTGTTTTAATTAACATGTTTTTGTGTTATCACACTTTACACTTTCTTATCATCTTATATAGATAGAAAATACTTTCTTTACATATATATACACATATTTAGCCACTATTTCAATATACATANATATTTTAATTACTATTAAAACTTATATTAATACGCTTTATTCTCATTAAGAGATGTGTAGTGTATTCATTCCGATTACAGGGGATGATTCCCGTATCGTCATTTTTCGTCATTACCTCCATGTTCCGGGAGTGGGTAATTTACGCGCCTGCTGCTTTCCTTGGATGTGGTAGCCGTTTCTCAGACTCCCTCTCCGGAATCGAACCCTGATTTCCCGTTACAACCATGCTATTGATAATAACTACTATCATAACATAAAACTGTAAAGTGAAAAATAAATATAGTTAAAAAAACTAAAAAACACTTTTTTAAAGCACATCAAACTAAAAAGTTAAAAATAATTTTTAAAACAATAATGAACGAAAAATACTAGTATTGCGAAAAAAAGCGTGGATGTTTTGTGCCATATTTTTTGTATATTGAGTGCCCTACGCTTTTATTACAATAATACTAGTACTTTTCGTTCATTATTGTTTTAAGCTTATTTTAAAAATTATTTAAAACTTTTTGGTTCGATGTGCTTTAAATGCGGGTTTTTTTAGTTTTTTTTAACTATTTATTTTTCACTTTTTAGTTTCATGTTATGATAGTAGTTATGATATATATTTATTCATTAGTTTTTATCTCCAATAATATTGAATTTGAAAAAATAATAAAGAAGCAAAATTATTGTTTTTGTATGTAAAATAAAAAAAAAATAGTTAATTTTTTTAATAGATCTTAATTTTACCCCCTTATTATTTTAAATATCCACCATACCACTCATCTATAGTTTATTGTTCATTTTTATTTTATTATTTATAAAGAGCAAAAATTTATATTTGTAATTCAATCAAATTTAACATACATAAATTAGATGAGATGAATGTATTATGTGAACATTAAATTTCTTAATCATTATACAAGTTATATTTTCTGTTAATGTTACCAAAAAAATATAGATTGTTGTTTAACATAATATAAATATGGATATTTAAAACAATAGAGGGGGAAAAAATTAAGATCATCCAGAAAAAAAAATATATATTTTTTTTCATATAAAAGGAAACATTTTTTTTCTTAATATGTTTTTTCATTTTCAATATTTTTAGAGATGAAAACTAATCAATAAATATATATACAATAAATATGTTTTTGATGTTTGTAGAAGTCAATAGAAATGCAAATCTGTTTTTTTTTTAATTATTCAAAAGTACATTTAAAGAGTTGTCATATAAAACAAATTTAGAAAAAGTATGCATTTTTTACTTTGCTTCATAACTTTGAAATATAGCTAAACACTATTGTGGTTTGCTAACTTTGGTTAGCAAAATATAAGTAATTTAGTAATGTTTTTATCATAGTTACATGCTATGGCATGCTGCTTGAAAGCTGTAGGTACTGCTGACGCTGCTATTGGTGTGACAACATGTCGTTTGGCTTGTGGTGGTCATGGTTATATGAATAATAGTAACTTACCAAACACATATGCCATGACAACTGCAGCAGAAACATATGAGGGAGAGAATACCGTATTACTGTTACAAACTGCTAGGTAAAAATTTATTTATAAAAATAATAAATTATAATCATTTTTTAACACATTCGTTATGGAACTCAATAATAAATATATTTTATTTTATCTACTCAATTAAAGATTCTTAATGAAAGCTTTTCAAGAATCCAAAACAGGAAAAGAGTTAACTGAAACTGTAAAATATTTTAGTAATTTTAAAAGTCTTAGACGTGCAAATTGGACAACCGAATTAAATTGTATGGCTAGTGCATTCTATCAAGTAGCAGGAAGGTAATTTAACTTTTCTTCTTTTTATTTTAAACTAATTAATTTTTTTTCTAGTTTGATGGAAAAATGTTATTTTTCTATAAATTTATTGGTTAAATCAGGTGTACAATATGAAGATGCTTGGAATCAGACATCTATTCAGTTGATTAAAGCGAGTGAAGTTAGTTTTATTTATTTTCAAATTTTTCTTTAAGTATAATTTATTTATAATTTTAGGCCCATTGTAGAGCTTTTGTAATTAACTCATTCTTAGCAACACTTGAAAATGTCCAACTTTCTCCAGAACTCAAAGCTGTATTAGATCAACTTGCCCAATTAATTTCCGTTCATTGGACATTAAACAAATTAGGAGACTTTTTACTGGTATATTTTTATTTTTATATTTTATTTATCAAAAATAGTAACCTTGATTTTTTTTTTAGTTTTCTAATTTGAAATCATGTGATGTATCAACATTGAACTCATTGTTAGAAAACTGCTTGATGAATATTAGGCCTAATGCTATTGGATTAGTAGATAGCTTTGATATGAGGGATGAAATTTTGGGTTCTCCATTAGGGGCTTATGATGGAAATGTTTATGAACGCCTTATTAATGAAGCTAATAAAAGTCCTTTAAATAAAGAACCTGTCAATGAATCTTTTCAAAAATATTTAAAGCCATTTATTAAATCTAACATGTAAATGAACATTTTAATGTGAATTATATTTATTTAAAGGCTTAAATGAAGTAATTATTCAATGGTCAAACTTTTTACTGTTATTTATTTATGTTAGGTTAAATTATATGTACCAATAGAAAGTGATATTTCTATAGGTTTGAAAATTGTACTGTGTTAATTTCAATTTATACACAATGGTTTTTGTGTATATTTTGTGCATTTAAAATTGGTACAAAGAAAAATTATGATAATTATGTCAAAATTTTATAAATTATTATAACTGTTTATTTATAAAACTCATTAAATTATTGTTTTTTATATTTTATAAAATACTTTTTAATTATATATCTAAATCATATTTAGATTTTTAAATACTATGTAGTTGGGGTGTATTTAGAAATTTATAGGTAGGTAGGTGACAAAAACAATCATAAATTTAAATTTTTTATGTTTTATTAAATTAATGTTTATATATAATGTTAAATGTTTAATTTATGAATGTTATAAAACTTATATGTAATTTGTGTAATAATATAATAATTTTTTTATTGTACGATTTTAAGAGAAAAAAAATGTTTAGTGTTGCCTGTTTTTCTCATGTATACACACATATAAATACAAATTCATTAACTCTTGATCCAATTAATATTTTACATTCATATATTTTTTTTAAATAATATAAATTGAAAGAGTATTATTAGTCAATAATCAATACATTTTTTCTCCTATCACGTCCTCACTTATTGTTACTGATCTTCACATTTTCTTACCTCGTATTCTTCTTTGTCAAACTTGTATTTTATATACTCTATCTATACTGATACTTATTTTTAATCCGTTTCCTTTAAAACTTTATCTCCAACCCTCTAGCTATTGATTAATTTTTTCCCTATTTTCTCCTATTAACTCAGAAATATTCCAAATTTTTTGGTAACGTGTAGCAATATAAATCATATATCAAAAAAAAAATTATTTTTAGTTTCACCTGAATTTAACAATAGGTTTTTACAATTATAATCAAATTTTATAATACTCTCAATTGAGTAGATTATTTCTATTTAAGTGATCTATTACGAAAAAAATATTGGGATTTTCTGATAAATTTACTGTAAATAGTAATTATAAAATTTCCGACTGCATTTTAATTTTAACAAAACAATTTTTTTATTTTCATAAAATATTTTTATAAAATAATGATGTACATTTTAAACTTGCAAGTTGAACTAAAAGTCATGGTAACAAATTCAACTTTTTTTTTTGTTATAAACTTTCACAAAAATCAACTTTAAATGACCAACAAAATAGGTTAAAAATGATTTTTTGCACTGATTATTTTTAACATATTAAAAATCAAAATCAGTAATTTAATTATAATTTAAAAAAACACGCTTTTAAAGCACATCGAACTAAAAAGTTAAAAATAATTATGAATAAAAAATACTAGTATTATTGTGATAAAAGCGTCGGACGCTCAATATACGAAAAATATGACAAAACACCCACGCTTTTATCACAATAATACTAATATTTTTTATTCATAATTATTTGTAACTTTTTAGTTCGATGTGCTTTAAAAGCATTTTTTTTTAAACTATATTTATTTTTCACTTTTTTGTTTCATGTTATGATAGTAGTTACTATCAATGTAATGGTTGTAACGGGTAATGGGAAATCAGGGTTCGATTCCGGGGAGGGTGTCTGAGAAACGGCTACCACATCCAAGGAAAGCAGCAGGCGCGTAAATTACCCACTCCCGGAACATGGAGGTAGTGACGAATAATGACGATACTGAATTCATCCTTTCTAATCGGAATGAATGAGTTCTATATTTCTAAATAAGAATAAAGTGTGTTAATATATATTTTTAATAGTAATTAGAATATATATATACATATATAATAGAACAAGGAAAAAAACGCTTTTCTGGGAAAATTACTTAGCGTGCTCGGATTTTCAAAAAATTTTTTTTCAACGAAAGTACTCGGTCACCAGACTCCGGGAAAATTATTGGCGAAGGTCGGAAAATTTTTGCCGCTCGCCCGCGAGCGTTTTAAAATTTCGACCGTTTTCGAGAAAAACGCTCGCTGACGCCAGCGTTTTACGACTTAAGGTTTGAAATTTTCATCAGACCCGCCCAATGACATTCCTGAGATATGATAAAAAAATCAATTCAATCCGTTCATTTTTCACCGTTTTACGA